GACAATAAAGACAAGAGATAATAGCTGAGTTCAGCTGGTGGCCTGTTTGCCTGATTGGCAAAAGACCCAAAGAACAACAATAGGAGTGTTTATTTATACCTTGCAAAGTTAGAATCATGACACACAAGGTTGCCTGGCAACTAATGACTGAAATTGTCCAGGCAGGATGCTTTTCTCAAGACTGAGGTGGCTTGACCACTTTAAGCACTCTGGCCTCAGCCTGTCCTCTAGCTTCAGCTGCTCCCCACACAGAACCAAGATGATCATTAACCAACCCCTGGCCCACCTCAGGGCCTTTATAAAAAACCGCCTTCCTCATCCACAGCCTGGCTCATCTAATCCTCTCCATCAGAGCTGTGCCATCTCCGGGCCTCAAGCTGAATTTACTTTTCTTTTACTTTGTAACTCTTGAATTATACATCTGCCTAGTCTCTGACTGACTCATTTTCAACAACAGGAATCAAGGCCAGGCCAAGTTGAAGTTCCCCTCTCTTCTTTAGCAGGACCTCTTCTGAGCTCCCTGGTGACAGAACTTGCAATCCCCCTGCCTCAGCCTTCTTGGGTTTCCTTTTAGGGTGTCAACAGTGTTCTAAAATTAGGTCAGGGTAATATTTACATAATGGTGAATACAAAAACTGAATTATACACTTGAATGAGTGGTTGGATGTATGCATTAACTCGATAAAGCTGCCTTATGTGGGTCATATTATTTAATCTTGTATAAAAAGGACTTTTTGACACATCTTACAATGTGGAAGGACCCTAAGGATCTTGTGATTATGATAAAATAAGTGAAATGAGCTCATTGTAAAGAGACAAATACTTTGTGATCCTACTTATAGGAAGGACCTAGAGTAGTCAAATTCGTAGGAACAGAAAATAGAATTGTGGTTTTCCAGGGGCTCAGATTTGGCCGTAGGAACTCACTGGTGACTAGGTAAAGTTTCAGTTTTGCAAGATTAAAATAATTCTGTGAGTGGATGAGTTTCAAAATAATTATGCAGGGTGAAACTAGGCAAAACACGTAAATATTGTGGTGTTCCACCTACATAAAATTTTGGAAAATGCAAATTGATCTATCAGGAGAGAAAGCAAATTAGTGGTTTTCTAGGAGCCGAGTTGGAAGCAAGGAAACATCTGGGGGCTGTGGATACATCATTATCTTGATGGGGATGACTGGTTCACTGATGTATGCACAAATGTCAAAAATTCATCAAAATTGAATATTTCAAACATAATCAACATTTGCTATCCAAAGAGAGAGTGTTCTAAGACATCCACTTTCAATACCAAAAATCTAGGAGGAATGGTCAACTCCTTTCTACAGAATAACATAGAATTTGTAGATCCTTCCATGGGATTTTTTGGACATGAGCTCTTTGTGTCCCATAAGCTGACAGAAATAACACACCAGCCATCATTCTTAGGAGTTTACTCTGTGCAGGACACACTGTCTAGAACTGTGTATGCCTTGTGTCTTAGAATTCTTGTAACAACCATGCTAGCTGTATGTTAATAATTTTCTTCCACTCCAATTATCAGAGGGGAGTCAAGATTGGTGGTAGGTCACTGGTGGATCTCCTGTTGATGCCAGGCTTGGCTGCCTCCTAGTCTGATACAACCTGAAATAGGCAGCAGGGGACTCAGCCAGGCATGAAAACAAGTAAGAACTGTCTAGCAACAACTATGTCTAGAAGGTTCTGGTCATGGTGAGTTCAAGTGATTTTGCAAGATCTCTCTTGGGTGATCCTAAATGAACTGAGAGGCCATAGTGGAAATCCCCCATGCCAGTAGCCCAACTGTCATATAGAAACAAGAATCGCTGAGTCTGGGCTGCAGGAGAGGTCAGTGTGCTCAGCCCCTTCCACCAGTCAGAGCCCTAGGCTTTTCATCTGGAAGGAGTTACCAGGTATCATGGATTCATCGACATCTTACTGTGTGCCAATTATTCTATATGGAATCATGACCACGAGCCTGCGTGGTTCCATGGGTTCCCTTTTCAGATGGGAAGCTCAGTGCTCTGACAGATGAAGCAGTATGACCAAGGTGACACCATTACAAAGCTGGAATTGGAAGCCAGATGGTAGATCAGAGCAGCCACTTTAGGTCTACTGTATGACCTCCTAATCTAAGCTGTCCTGGCATCCACAAGGCTCTCTGAAGGGCTTCTAGCTGAGCTTTGAGCCCCTTGTTTTTAATTAATGTCCTCATTGTTGTTATCATTCAGATGTGCTGAAGTATATAACACATACAGAGAAATGCGCACACCATAAGCAAGCAGCTGGATGCATTTACACGGCATGTACAAGTCCACATAAGCAGGGGATAGAACAGCTGCAGCCCCGGAGGCCCCCCAGCAAGGTGCCATCACCACGTACATCCATGGCGACCGTTGCTCTAATGTGGACAAGCGCAGCTAGCTGGGCTATTTGGGAACCTCACCAAGGTGGAATCTCTTCAGTCATTCTCTTTTACGTCCTTATGCTTGCCAGGTCCAGGTGTCTGGGCTCGTTGGGAGGACGGGAAGCAGGCACAGGGGAGCTCCTGCCTGCAGTGACCCATCTGCGATGGGGGAGTTAGGGCAGTTGCCACTTAGTTCACACATGGGTGAAGCAAGTAAGATCTTTGTCTCACACATAGCAAAGGTTCTAACCTCAGCTCTGCCAGATACATGTTGTGGGGCCCTGCACAAAGTTGTAACCTCTCTGAACCTCAGTGTGCCCATCTGTAAAATGGAAATCACCTTCTCTCCTTGCTGATGTGGTGGTGAAAATTAAGTGAAATAACACCCAGTGCCTGACACAGAGGAAGGCCCAGACAATGGTAACTATTGTAATAGAATTTTTTTTTCTCCAGCATCTAAATTTCCTCTTGCTCTCTTCCATCCCTGACCTGGAAATTGTGTTGAATTGAGGTTGAGCAATACCAGCAAGGTGTTTTCTGGCAGGGAGCAGGGAAATTAAAAACCCAGACTTGCTGACCAGTGTCAAGAAGTGCCCCAGCTCAGAGGCACTTGGGTGCTGCAACCAGAAGGTAAGGCTGGGGTGCTGAATGTGTGTTGTGGGAAATCTTAGAAATCCACACTGACTTCTGCAGAATGGTCAAGGCTTACAATCTTTGAACCTTCTGACCCAGCAGTTTCACTTCTGGAAATCCACCCTAAAGAAACCATCAAATAATAACAAAAGATCCAGAAACAGCTTAGAGGATAGAAAAAAGAGGTTTAAAGACTTAATGATATCTGGTATGTTTAAGAAGATAAAGGGAAGCTTGAGCATGTTGAAGAGGCTAGAAGATATTTTAAAAGACTCAGATTAAATTTATGGAGAGAGAAAAAACCACACTGAGATGAACTAGACAGTGGCTAAAATCAGCAGCAGATTAGACAAAGCAGAAGAGAGAGGAGCTACTTATTCTTCATGTGAATGGCAATGGTGAGGGTAACAAGGATGCTGCCAGTGAGAGGAGTAGCCCCAGCTAACGGTTATTGAGCCCAAGCCATGGACCATGTCTTGTTTACATATCGCATTAGTCCATTTTCTGTTACTATAACAAAATACCTAAGATTGGATACTTTTGAAAGAAAAGGGGTTTTAGAAGTGGAAAGTCCAAGATGGGGTGGCCCATAGATTCTGCCTCTCCTGCGGTCTCCTTGGCTTCTCCTACCACAGCAACTACATCATGGCACACATGAGAGGGAGAGATCCCATGGCAAGAGAAGAAGCCACAGGGGCTGCAAGGGGTCTCTCCGAGCTGCACACCGAGGACCAGGCTCCCAAGGCGTGAGCCCCTAGATGACACACTCATCCGTTTCCAAGTCATTGCCAAGAGCTTCTCCCCTAATCCTCATATCATTTATAAAGTCATGCCACCCTCGCCCCTGTCTAGCACACGAGCAAGCAGCAGAGACAGAACTAAGCTTTATGCTCCAGGTTGGATGCCTGGGGCATGGGAAGAGCCAGTCTCCCACACCAGGCAGTCAGGGTGTGAATCCCACCTCTCCAGTCCTCCAAGCCTCCGTGTAACACTATGGCAGTGATGTAACAGCATCTGTCCCTGAAGGAGGCCAGATGAGCAAGCTTTGGGTGTGTTCTCTCCAAACCTCTTGGCAGACAATGGGACAGGGGGTGGCTTCATTTGGCAGAGGAAACCAAAGTTTGTGGAGGTGAAGTGATTGTTCCCAAGGTCCCACAGCTGGTAAGAAAGGTGCCAGAACTCGAACCAGGTCTCTGATTCCAAACTCATCCTGCTAGATGTGCCCTGAGCCTGGTAGAGGTGCCTGGGAGCCCTCGATGCTGGCATCTCTGTGAGCGTGTCCTGCCAGCTGCACCTCCACCCCTGTTGGGCTGAGCCCTCACCATTTGTCGCAGGAGATTCTCATGCATCATCTGGGGCAGACAGGCTCGGTGTCAACACACACCATTGCCTCCCATGGTGTGTGTGTGCCTTGGTCCAGCCTGTATGAGTGAGGACACCACGCTGCACGCGACACCAGATGTCTCCTCTTCCACTGCCCTGGGATGGTAAACAACAGGAAACAACCCATGTGCCCATCAATTAGGGATTCGTTAAATAAACGACACAGCTGTATAGTGGGGACTGCCCTTGAAAATGTTGCTGTGACACAATAGAAACAGGTTCAGCTTTTCCAAATCAGTAAAAAAAGATTGTGTGTGTGTGTGTGTGTGTGTGTGTGTGTGTGCGCTATAGAGAATAGATAGGTAGGTAGATGGATGGATAGACAATAAGAGAGGAAGGGTATGCATCAATATGTTAATGGTGTTTAACAGATTCTGAATTTTTTGTTGCTTATGTTTTCTAAATCTTCTACATTGGATATGTGTTTCTTTTACCAACTAGGGGAGAAAAAAAATCCCAGCTGTTTCCCAGCTCCAGAAAAGAGGAAGCAGAAGCCTTGTGAGTCGCTTCCACTGGAGCTGGGGGTTGGGGCGGAGTAGGCTGGGGTAGAGTCTGATATAAGGGGCTGCCTGGGTGGAAGGGAACCTCCAGGGCCGTCTGCATCGCTCCCACTGGAGTCATGGAACTTGTCCTGCTGTGTGGGCTGCTGGTGATGGCTGGTGAGTGGGGACAGGATGCATGGCTGGCAAGGAAGGAGGGATTCGGGCCGGTCCTGCTCCAGGGCTGGTGACCTATGGCACGTGTGTTGCAATGGGCTGCTGGTTAGCACTGAAAGTTTTGCTGTCATTGTTCTCCGTAACCCCCAGTGCTCCAAGCTCCAACCCTTCCACACCCTGCAAGGAGCTGTCCCTGACTCCCCACCCCTGGGAAGGCAGCTTCAGCCCACAGAAGTGTGGGCGGCCAAGCTGTGCGGTGTGCCCAATCCCGGGCGATGGTGCTACAGAAATGGGACCCCCTCATCCCTGGCTTTGGTGGAATAATAGCAATCTTCAGAGGCCTTTGGAGTTCATTGTCACCTAGCCTGGGAAGAGGGTTCCTTTAACCTGTGGCAGAAGAAGGGGCTGGGAGGCAGTTTCTATTCAGCATGTAGCAAACTGAATGTAAAAATGTGCCTGCTAGCAAATTGGCCTTCTTTTTCTTGATCCATCTCAAATTAGGTTATTTTAAAAAGGTCTTGTATTTTTAAAAAGGGACTCTATGTTGGTGTGGGACTCCCAGATTGTTCAAATTCCTCCAAGGTTAAGGTGAAAACCATTAGGAAATTTGCAACCAAGCTACATAAATTCACTTCTTATGGGTGAACATCCATTAGAGCAGGTAGACACGGTGGCATGTGCCTGTAATCCTGCCTGCCTAGAGGCAGAGGCAGAAGGATCTAAGTTCATGTATTGCCTAAGAAACTTAGGAGACTGTCTTAGGATAAAAAAATAAAAGGGCTAGGGATATAGCTCAATAGTAGAGCACCCTTGGGGTGGGGGGAGAGGAGGAAGAGCTGATATAGTTGAGACACAAAATTCATCGATGGACCCATCTATGAACCTTGGGCAAACCATCCAACCCTTCCATGTCCTCATCTGCAAAACAGGCACCATAGCATCCTCTTCACAGGGTGGTTAGAGGGACTGAACGAGAGAACAGAGACCAAGGGTTGAGCAAGTGTAAGTGGGAGTAAGTAATTAACAGCATAACACAGGGCACGTGCCCAGAGATAGTAGAGATAAAAAGCGCCTGCTGTCACTATGCCCCAGGCTACCAAGACAGGAGCTGCTGACAGGGCCAGCCAGGTCCCCAATGCCCCCATAAGCATAGCGTGAGCTCCATTTCTCAGGCTGAGTTGTTTTTCACCATACAATTATGAGAAATGAGGGTTCCCTTCACCCCCACGAAGCATTCAGAATCAAAGCTGAATGCACTGCTTGCCTGGCAGAGGAGAGCTGAGCCATTCTAGTAAGAGGAGAAGTAATGGAGCGTTGTGAGTCTAAATGAGAAGGGTTAGTTGCGGGGAAGAAAAGGAAAGTGGCCAGAACAAGGTTGAGAGAAGCAGTACTCTGAATTCAGGTCTTTGGTTGGTCCACAAGGTGAGTTCTAACTTTCTTTGCCCTGGGGCTCCTTATCATGCAATCCAGGAATCTAAGAATTCCAACTGGGAATCCCGGATAATTCTAGAGAGTCTGGGGTCATTCATCAGGACAATTAGAACTTAGCAAGATTCTTCTTTACTATACCATTCAACTTGAGCCAAGGTGTCCAACAGGAGTGGCGTTGTGGACACCCACACACCGGGGACACAGCAGGTCAGCCACTTCCCATTGCAGCCCAAGGCCACCTGCTTGCTCTCACCCTTTGTCCACAGCATGAGACCCTCCCAGCTCTCTTCCTACCTTAACCTCCCAGACATGGGGCTCACTTCCTGTGCACTGCTTACTCTGGGTGCATCCAGAGTTTCCCTGTAGACTCATTTACCCAAGGGTCAAAGGAGAAGACCATAAACTAGCGCCCCCCAAATGGGACTGCCTGGTCCCATCCCTCCTGATTGAGCTGCACCTGCACGTGTTTTCTGTGTCCTTGAAGAAGCTCTCCGAGTAGCACACATCCATCTTCTTGTCTGTTTCCTTCTACTTTCCCCCTGTATTCGTTGATTAAATGTATTTTATTTCTCCTAACTCAATGTATTCCTCTACCCTGATGATGTAGATTCCCTTTATGATTGATTCTAGCCAGCAGCTATGATGTCTGAAATGAAAATCATTGATCACTACATCACTGCCTCTCAGGAGAGCCACGCATGCTCTTCATGCTCAGATTTCCTGAGGGGCTCCAGGGAGGGGTGTGGGGAGAAGCGTGAGTCGGGATGCTTCTTCCTGCTGTGAGTGGGAACTCGATGCTCAGACACAAATGGAATCAGACTGCCTTGGGTTCAGTTCTGGCTCCCTTTACTAGTCATCAGGACCTTGGGAGAGTTACTGAGCCTGACGTTGCTCATCAGTAAAATAAGAACTAAAAGCTGAGCAGAGGGCTGGGGAGATAGCTCAGTGGCATAAGAGCCTGCCTGGCAAGCACAAGGTCCCGAGTTTGATCCCCAGTACTCCATGCTATGCTAGCCCCAGAACCTGGGTGTGGAGGTGCATACCTATAATTCCAGCACTAGAGAGGCTGAGACAGGAGGATCCTATGAGTCCGAGCTGCATAGTGAGACCCTGTATCAAATAAATAAATAAGCAAATAAATAAATATTAAAAGCTGGACAGAGTGGTGCATGCTTATAATCTCAGCCACTAAGGAGGCCGAGGCAGGAAGATCTCATGTTCAAGGTCAACCTGGGTGTTTTAGCGAGGCTTTCTGTTAAAAATGAATAAATAACTATAAACAAATAAAAAGAAGGGCTGGGAAGGAATGTGTCTTAGGTCAGTGATAAAAATGAACCTGAGTCATACTCTTCAAACCAAAAAGTTAAATGTTATCTGTCTCCCCTAAAAGGTATTGATTATACCAGTATTAATTTTAACCAACGCACCATAGTCACAGAAGATGACAACATAGGAAGGAACTGGATGAGCGGGCCATGGAAGCCATTGTACCGTCTTTGCCATTTTACTGGCAGCTATTCCCAAACAAAAAATTTATTTATGTAAAAAATAATATTTGTCTCCTGGGGTGGAGTCAATAAATTAATACACAAGGAAGTGTAGGGTGAGCACTCAGTGAATCATTGTGTCTACGTGTCTGTGTTTAACTTCTATCCCTTTGGTTCTGGGGGCGGAGCCTGGGCCTGGCGCACGCCGAGCCTGTGCCCTACCGCTCACGAGCTCCACCTCCAGCCACACTGTGTAACAGCAAGAGCAGTTGTCATACTACACCTCCAGCATCATTCAAGGTCACTCGTGCGGTCCGGACACAGCAGTGGTGGCCCTGGTCTTCCCATGATGCTCACGCCCGCCCTCTCCTCATTGCCAGGTGTGACTCCGACCCAAGGAGGGGTCCTGAACCTGAACAAGATGATCTGGCAGGTGACTGGGAAGACACCCCTCTTCAACTACTGGCTCTACGGTTGTCACTGCGGACCGGGTGGCAGAGGCCAGCCCAAAGATGCCACAGACCGGTAACTGCCTCCCCAGGCCTGCAGGAGGAAATCGTACCCCAGGACTCTCTTCTTTCTTCTCCAGCATTGATACAGTCCATGAATTCCTTTCATCCAGCATGTACTATGTGTTCAGAAGGGCTCTGTCCTGGCCCTCCTGGAGCTGACCTTCTAGAAGCTTCCCCAGAGTCTCTGAAGGCCTGATCCCTTGCGTTCCCATCCCTCCTGTAGCTACAATGCCCACACACTCCTCACTGACACCGTGCTTTGTTTTCAAAAGTCTTACTTCTATTATCCATATCTCATTTGAATTATACTAGAGGAGGGATGAGGCCAGCCAGGCCTGGGACCATTGCCTTGAGCTTCCACTTAGAAGCTGTGTGATCTCAGGCAGGTGTCTTGACCTCCCTGAGTCCCTGTACCAGCACCTCTGTCATAGGTTGATCATGCAGATTAAGAGAATACTTGTAGATAAAGTGGGGACCTGGGGCACTGGAAGAATTTGATCAGTGCTGGCTATTATGATCCCAGGGAAGACCAGAGCCCTGAAGACCCTGGATCCCCCAATGCAGGAGCAGCTGCCAGAAACCCAAGCTGACTAACGAACCCGGCAGCTGCCCCACGCACTGTCCTCTCCTGCCAGGTGCTGCCAACAACATGACTGCTGCTACTCCCTCCTGAAGACCCAGCGATGCAGGTCCCAGACAGACCACTATAAATACACCTTTCTCCTGGGAGACATCCATTGCTGTGAGTGCCCAGGCTCACTGCCTTTATAGACCAAGAGACCACGCAGGAGTGACTCACCCTCTCTGTTCTTATCCTTTGTCCAGTGGCAGCAGCAGGGGGGTGGGGGAGGGGCTGGAGTGGGAGTGGCAGTATGGGGAGGTCAAGGGGAAGTTTGACCCCTCTGCCATCTGGAGGTGAGGCCCAGCGCTGCTGACCAGCTCATGCGATGAGCCCATTCCTTAACCTCTCTCCTACTCGGTGTCCTCATCTCTAACCTAAAGTCCCTGCAAGCACTTTAAGATGAGACCAGCAGGTCAGACAGGCTCCCTGTATTCCTGTTACTCCTTTCGCCACAGCTGGGCTCTGTAATAGCCCAGTCAGGAGGCAGTGAGACCTTGACTCTGTCCGTTTTTACAGACAGGAAAACCCAGTCTGGGTTATAAAGTGAGCCCAAGGCCAGCCTGAACTGCATGCTGAGACCCTGTCTCCAAAAGACCATTAAAAAAAAAAAAAAAAAAAAAAAAGCCTCAGTCTGGAGTGGGGAAGTATTTTCCCAGGTCATACAGTTGCAAATGACAGGCTCTGACAAGCTACCCAGGTCATCTGGCCCCTGGGCGTGCAGCATTCCCAGCATGGAGAATGATAGCAAAGGGCTTGTCACACTCGATACTGCTGTTCTCTGAAGACCTAAGAAGGACCTGCAGCGTTTATTAAGTACCTACTCGCCACTAAGTGCTTTGCCTCCTTGCCTTCCTTCTTACCTGAGCCTTCTGAGCAGCTGCTATCCTGAGTTGCTGAGTTTCGCTTTCCTGATAAGGAGGCTGGAGCAGGCAGGCTTCCTGTTGGCCTTCTCTCCCTCCGGTTCTGGCCTGGCATGCTCCGCTCTCCTCCTCAGCTTTCCCTGAAGGCACAGCCATTCTGGATCTCAGTGCTGGTGGCCCCTTGCCAGCTGTTTAGAACCACGTGGCCATGCGTCCCGCTTCCATCTGCTGTACTTTGTGTCTCCACTCCATGGTTTCCTCACCCCTGACCCCACACCTGTACCTGTTATTCTTTTTGTTTTTTTCTTCTAATTTTTAGGACAGGGTGTACAGGGTGTTCAGCGTCTCACTGTGTAGATCAGACTCGTAGTGATCCTCCTGTTCACAGCCTCCTAAGTGCTAGGATTACAGGCGTGCGCCACCATGCCCAGTCTCAATCGCAGTCACAGCGCACCCTGGGGGGCAGGGCTGGTAAGGCAGGCCCAGGGACTGGCTCGAACTCCCGGCCCCTGAATCTGCCTAAACAGGTGCTTTAATCCGCTGAGCTATCTGTCCGGCACTGTACCTGTTATTCTGTCCTCTCCCTCCGGGACCAGCTGTGGGCAAGTAAAGGAGCCAGGCACACAGAGTGGTCACTCACGTCCATGCCCACAGCCAGGCAGATGGAATCAAGCTTGCTGAACAGGGACCAGAAACACTAGTCTTGCGTCTGCTCTGTCCCGGGAGAGGACAGACCCTGAGCTGCCCCTCTGTCACCTGCAGCTGACAAGGGGAGCTGGTGTGAGCGGCAGCTGTGTGCCTGTGACAAGGCGGTGGCCTTCTGCCTGAAGAGCAGCCTAGACACCTACCAGAAGAAGCTACGGCTCTACTGGAGACCCAAATGCAAGGGCGCGACTCCTCTGTGCCCAGGTGCTGCCAACCTGACTTTCCCGGGGCTCCCTGAATGAAGGGGAGCTGCCCTGGGCTGTGCACAAAATGTATGACACACTTAACGTGCGTAAGTAACAAAATCTTCTTTCTATTTTTATTGAGTGATTGATTGATTGATTGACTGAGTTCTGAAACAGGGTCTCACTATGTAGCCCAGGCTGGCCTGGAACTTGGGGAGATCCTCTTGCCTCAGCCTCCTGAGTGCTGAGATTACAGATGCGCACTACCATGCGCCACCAAACGTTCATTTTTAAAAACAGTTTTTACTAGAGCACAGGTGTGTCCAACCCATGGACCCCAGGTTAGGAGAAATCTGCTCTGTTCGTCCCCAAGGCCCCTACTTTGTTCCAGGACATCATGAGCTCTGAGGTCCTGTGGTATTGCAACATCCCACCCGGCCAGGGCAGCTTTAAACACCAACACCACCCCGGAAGGGAGTCCGGCCTAGCCTGTGTCCTGCTTCTCTGCATCCCCAGCCCCACCCCAGCCCAGGCAGTAGTTCGGTCTGGGGGAAAGCCAAAGCTGGGAGCCTCAGAGTGACACTGGGCCCAAAGTGTGTATCTGTGAGGGTAGTGGAATTCCAGGGGAGGTGTGCAGGTCCCCTGTGTGGCTCCTGCTCACTCCCTCCAGTACTTTCCCAGCTGTGCTCTGAGTGGCCACTATAAAAGCTGATCTTGGTCTTTCTGTTCCAGTCTCTCTCTTAAAACCCCAAGGTCCTCACTGCCCCAGGAGAAAGCCTCTCAGAACTGTGGACCCTGCCATCTGATGCTGTGTCCCTCTCTCCCCGACAGGCCCAGGCCTGTCTCAGACTCAGTTGCGCCTTGGTGTCTAGGTCAGCCACAGAACCAAGCAGGGGCTCTGTGGACAGCCCTGAGCAGAGGGCTGGGGGACCCCCTTGCTCTTCTTGCTCCAGACTCCAGGGTCGCCTCTGTTTACTCCTATATCCTGCTGTGTGCTCAGGGTGCCTGGTGCAGAGACACATCCTCAGCTCCTACCCAGCTTGGAGGGTGCACTCCCTCCTCTGAGGTCCCCAGGACTTTCAGGGCCTGCCTTTACTGAGCTTTGCCATGAGTGGTGAATGTGACTTCTCCCTCTCCTCCAACTAGGCTGTAGCCACATACTAGGTGCACAGTTAAAGCTGTGGACCAAATGAGCCCATAATGGGTAGAGGGATGGGGCAGACATTGATACCCACCCAGACCTCCTGACCCAGGCTGCCCTTTCCCAGGAAGGCATTGGCTGCTGACTGCTCTGATCTGTTGCCCCCTTACTGGTCTCCCTATGACCTGGGAGTTACCTGGCCCTCATCCGCATCCCCACCCCCACCTTCCAAGATGCCACCTGGGACAGGTGACCAGGAAAGGACAGCTCTGTAAGTGCCTGGCTCCCTGGCCTGTACGCAGGCCTGTCTGGGTGGTATGCCATCCCACAGTCACTCCTGGACCAAGGCGTGAGGATACCAGGCGACTTCTGAAACCTCCTTTCTGCTCATCCCACCCCCGGCCCAGCCTGTTCTCCTGGTTTCCATACAGGTTTCCCCAGGGAGCACTCCTTCAATAAAGCACTTGCACAAGAATCCTCAGCTCGGCCTCTGCATCCAGGAGATGCAGTTCACACAAATACCCTCTTCACACAAAACGATCCCTGAATGGCCACTCACGTGTGATTAGCTACATTTGCAGCCACAGGGCCAAGGCAGCTGGGGCCACCCCCCGCTCTCCAGGCTGTGATGTATCATCTCTGAGCAGTGACTGGAGGAGGAGATGTCTGCAAGCTCCCTGCTCCAGGAAGGCAATGTGGGGAATGAAGAGCCATGGGCTCCAGGTTCAGAGTCCCACTTGACATCCCACTCTGGTGGGGACGCACCCATGAGTAGGGATCTCAGTTTTTCACCAGACCTTGCTGTCAACCTAAGGTGGGGCTACTTAAAAAAAAACAAAGAGGGAGCTGGGGAGATGGCTCAGTAGAATAAGCACTTGCCTGGCAAGCGCAAGGGCCTGAGTTCAATCCCCAGTTCTGAAAAATTTGAAAAAAAAAAAGAGAGGTCTATTTAAAAAAAAAGGGGGGGGGGATTTCTAGTTATACCACAGCCTATGAACCTTCCCAAGGAATCTAGGTCTCTTCATGGACAAAAATAATCAGAAAACAGGCAGAAGTCAAGACAAGTAAGGACCCAATAAGGTCAGTGTAGTGGACTCTGAGGACCATGCCTGGCACGGGGTGGCTTTCTTTACATTCAGCTCTGTGGTGGCCCTTGGGGTATGGCGACCAGATTCCAAGTCACTTCAAAGGGGAGGATGAGTTCATTAAGGCCCCGTGAGGTGTCCTCTTCCCATCCAGCTCCTCCTTGTGTTGGGTTCCCAGGATCAGCGTGCAGTTATTAGGAGCTTGGCACTCTACTTGCCCACCAGAGCTCCCTGCGGCTCTGCACGTTGCCTCTTCATCTCAGGGCTGGCTGGCACGGGGGTTGTTGCCTCCACTTTATATTTGAGGAATCTGAGGCCCAGAGAAAGGAAGAACCTCCTGAGGCCCTCAAAACAGCCAAAGACTCAGCCAGGAGGATTCTACCCAGGCTCTTTGCCCTCCACTCCTCCTTGGCACTGGTCTAGAAATAAGGACTGAGGCTGTAGCTCAGTGGCAGAGCGCTTGCCTCACATGTGTGAAATCCTGACTCGGACACCCAGCACCCCAGGATGGGCCCTTTTCACAGTCCTGGCTTTGCCCATGGGATGGGGTGGGCTCACGGCTCCAAGTGGCAGCCAGGGCTCCAGCCCTCAAGTAAGGCTGAGTGTCTGGTGAAGATGCCATTTCTGTGTCTAGGCACATGGTGTGGCAGAGTTTCCCAGGGAACTGGCCACCCTACAGCAGCTGTCAGCCAAGACAATGGCAGTAACTTGACTGGCTTAGATTCCTTGGGGCTTATTTACCCCTAAAGGGGACAGAGTCAAGTTCCCTGGAGGGTGGGTAGTGGGTGGAATCAGCAGGTTGGGGTGGCTGATAGAGCTGCAGGCCCAGGCTGAGGACTGAGATATGCTCACAGGATGGGCAGGGGGGGGTCAGGAGCTGGGCGACAATTCCCTGCATGACCACCTCATAACCTGACACAGGCCTAGTGCTCTGTGGGTGATTGGTGGGTATGGTATGAGCGAATGGGTCTCAGATAGGTCAGGACGTGGACCAGGAGGCCAGGGGGGCATGTAAGCCCCACTTAGCTGGGGCTGGGGAGAGGCTCCTCCCCTGAGTTCTTGTACTGAACCAATTCTGCATGATTTAGGCCGAGCAAAATCCAGAAAGGAAGGAGAGACTCTGGGCATATCTGTTCTCCACCCACATCACTCACAGACACCTGGAAAGGGAGGTGGAGAACTAACTTCCTGTTCCTGCTGGGATTAGGCTCTGCAGGAGGAAGGGACCAGGGGAGCCACAGCACACCTGACCGCAGACACCTGCAGTGCCCACAGGCCCACTCCTCTCCTCTACCCAGAGACACTGTTATTATTTCCGGCTTGGTAAAGATACAGAAACTGAAACTTCAGGAGTGAGTCACTTGCTGATAAGTGGCAGGGCTGGAATTCGAACCCAGGTCTCTCTGGCTCCAGGGTCATGTTCCACCCTAACTCCTACACCTTGACTGGGATAGCTCCTGACTCAGCCCTTTGTCCCTGTAGAAAATTAGCTCCACCCAGGGACCAGGAGGTGCAGGTAGATTGCAGTGAAGGCGGAAGCCTAAAAAAAAGCCAAGCAGAACCATCATACAGAAGACAAGAATCACTCCCATTCGGAGCACTTTACCTCCCTCAGCTCCAGTGTATCCATCCTCAAGCCTCCTGGGACCAGCGTTCTCCCTCAGGGGCCCAGCCGGGCAGAGTGTTGGGCCACAGCACCTCCAAGCCCCTCACTGCTTTTCCGGCTGGATCCTGCAGTGGAATGCCCATGCTACCATCCTCTGTCCTCTGCTTCTCTGTGATCTGGACTCTGGCCCCACCTACCCCACTTCAGTGTCCCTTGAAGGAGCCAGAAGGGCATCTACACTTGGGGTCCCAGATATCCTTGTGCTCTCCTGAGGTCAGCTCAGAGCCCCCCAGGGCACCCTGATGGCTTGGAGCTGGAGACTGGCTGCTCCACTGTGCGGCTGTCATTTGAGGAGGCTCACTGCAGCTCCCAGAGGGCAGGTGGAAGGCTCCTCTCTGTTCTCCGTCTGCTATAGGTCCTGAGTGACCCTACTTGAAGATGCTTCCCAGCTCTAGGCAAGACTGGCCGCTCCCAACCAGATAGCCCCATTTTCCCTCAGAGAAATGCCTCACCTCAACCCCTGAGGTGCCTCACAGCCATTGGCTACTCCACTTTCTTCCCCATTCTCTCCTCTGCTTTACACTTCCTGCTGGCTCTTCATCCCTCCCTCATTCAGACTTCTGTTTCTCTTACCCACTGCTCACCCAGAATGTGAAAGCCTAGAAGGAAGGGGCAACCAGAATGTTCCCTGCCTCAAGATTAGTGCTGGGGCAGAGGAAATTCTGTTGAATGAGTGAATGAATGAATGAGTGAATGAGTGAATGAATAAGTGACTGAGTGAGTGACTGAGTGAGTGAATGAGTGACTGAGTGAGTGAATGAGTGACTGGGTGAGTAAATGAGTGACTGAGTGAGTGAATGAATGAGTGAGTGAATGAATGAGTGAGTGAATGAATGAGTAAGTGAGTGAATGATTAGAAATAAATTAACCCCATGCTGTTTCTCTCCATTGGGCTCATTTCCACCTGTTGTAGCTTTTGGCTATAGTGGGCCTCTAATCCTCATTTGTGATTAGTAAAATAAGGGTGCTAAGGCTTGCCTTCAAAACAGGTGTTTTTTGTTTTGTTTTTTTGAGACAGGGTCCTGCTATGTAGCCTAAGCTGGCCTTGAACTTTCCATCTTCCTGCCTCAGCCCCACAGCTACTGGGGTTCTGCCATGTCCAGAAGCATGAAAGGACTTTTTTTTAAGCCTAATTCTCAGCCGTTCCTCAAGGGCCCTTCCACTG